ATCTTTATTTACTGGTTAAATTATGGAAGAAAAAACAACCAAGTGTGGCCCATAACAAGAGCGAAATGAAACTAAATGAACACTTCTGTCTGTGTGTCAAAATCTTTCACAAACAGATCTGGGTTGTTTCCTCTCAAAGCCCCAAAACAACTTGAAGTGTTCCTTTTTGTGAAATTATGCAGAGAATCTAGTTCTGACCAACCACAGTTTATTTATGAATGAATGTGTTTGATTTTACAAAATTAAAAACCTCAAAAAGGACAGTTTACATCACACAGTGTTTACCTGTACCTGTACCGGATTATTTGTTTAACACAACGGATGTGTGCGCAGCCTGAGTGCAGAAACACCGCTGTCTGTGCTGTTAACATGAAGTTGCAGCGTTAGTTATCGCTGTTGTCGACACTCAAACAGTTTGTCACGGTGTGATAAAATAAGTTATCATGTTACAATGAACATTAATGAGGGGGATATGTCTTAATGACCTGTATAAATAATACAGGTGAGTGCGTAAATGATGAGAAGAAACATCTCAAACTTCAGTTGCCAGACATCCACTTATACCTGATCGATACATCTATCCACGTCCCCAGGAGAGTCTGAAATCTGCTGAAATCCTTCAACACACTGACATGATACAGACAGAACAGAGGCTCTTTCTGCAGGAGACATGTGCAGTAGAGCATGAAGTGACAGAGTCTGATAATCCCTCTATAAACATAAACGTTGCATTTTTGCCATTTAAGGTACAATATGTAACTTTCTGGAGGTGGAATGTAGTCAGCTGCATGAACCATGGAAATAGAAAGTTTAACTCATACTTCGGAACATTCTCCATAAGTTTTATGTTATACTGTAAAAATATTATAAAGAGTGACGTCACCTCCAGGGAGCCAGGCTGGCGCCACCTAGTGCCTCCACTCAATTGCATTTCTCTCCAGTGACTAGGCCAGGAATAATTGGACTACACCTGACGGTTTGAACACGGGCACTTCTCGAGTTCGAGGATTTAAAGACAGAACAAAGAGAATGTTTGGTGAATTTTATCAAGGGGAAAGACGTTATTGTCCTTCTTCCTACAGGATTTGTGAAAAGCTTAATATACCAGTTAGCCCCGTTAGCAGCGCATTACATACGTCACGAGATTGGTTAAATAAAAAAAGTACCTGCCTTCCATCGAGCGAATGAATCCTAATGCTGTGAGATCACACAGTTTCCACAAAGTGAAACCGACTGATGAATCAGGCTAACTTCTAGGTCCAAGACTGGCAGAATGGAGGCAAAATTAAAACAAACAAACAAAAAATGGACCCAGAAATGCCATCATCACTTCACAAAACAACTCTGCAGCCAAAACCACAGTGTTTCAATAGTCAGATAGTCAGATTTGTGGAGATGAAACTCCATTTCAAGCCTGGATCTTTCATTTGTGTGAGTCAGTGTTTGACTCAAATTGTACATATTGTAAAGATTATAAAAAAAATAAATAAATAAACATGCCACTCACAGTAAGGACGCTTGTTTGTGCAAGAAACTCAACCTGAATGAATTATTTTAGTGTATTTTTTGTCTAAAAAGTGACATGCTGTGGCTTAAATGTAAGTTCTGTGTGGAAGTAAAATTATGCTTTTCTGACTTTTCTTTCAAACTTGTACCGACCTTCTTCCCTGACCTTAAGTTAATGCATTTATTGTATTAGTTTCCCAGATGTGTGTGGGAGCTGAGGTCACATTCACAGTGGCCACAGCCTCCTGCACCAGAGCTGACTTCATTATCATCATTAATCCGCTGTATCTTTAAGCCGGGGTTTGCTGTGAATGAGTTCAGTCCTGTCATATAATAATGTAACACTCTGAGTCATGGAAAGTTACATGGACTTGGGTCAAACCCCGAGGCTCTGCTTAACGTCTACAGCACTTTTTCAATTCAAAACATTGTGAAAATCCAATTTAAACTCAAAACTGGGAACGAAAAGTGTAGAATTTATAGATCACACTAAACTGTCCATGGACTCAGGACAAGTGAAATCCTAAGAGAAAAACGCTGCTGGTTTATGGTTTCTTAAGGACTTATTTAAAACCTTTCTTGTCTAAGTTATAACTTTATTTGGTAAAATGTTTTCACTTCAACATTTAGTTCAGTTCCTATAGTCTTAGTGCTTAGTGACCCGGTTCAGGTCTAATGAAGAGCCCATTGCAGCAGATGCCACTAGGCCAAGTTACAGGTCAGGTCTGTGAAAAGGCAATCCCACTCATAGAACCATACCAACTTTACTTATAAATAACTTTAAAAACTTTACAGCTGGTCAAAGTGCTGCACACAAACACAGAATAGACAAGGACAATCGCATTAACACAATACACAATACAACTAATAAAAACAGTAAGATACTCAACAACAAGAAATATACATGTCACTTGTTAAAAGCCAGTGAAAAAAGGTGTGTTTTTAGGAGCGATTTATAAATAGGTACAGACTCTCTAATGGCAACTGGTTCCAGAGCGGAGGGGGAAAAAACAGAAAACTCACGGTCCACACAAAGTTGAAGTTTAGTGTCTGCTGTAAGAGTGGTTCAGGTCAGAGAGGCAGGAGGGTGCTAGGCCGTGCAAACACTTAAAAGTAAATAAAAGACTTTTAAAATCAACTCTAAAAAACCCGTCCACACTAGTACTTATTCGAGTAGTTTTTTTTGTGTGGATGCAGTGTTCGTTCACACTAATCCGATGGAAAACGGCTCCAGAGACGGAACGATCTGGTGCCCACGAATTCATCTGAGTACAGATCTGATCCAGCACTGTGCGGACGCCTGAAAACGCTGATACGCTGATGTAATTCACCGCCAAAATGCTAAGAGGCTAGAATATATGTCCATTCATAAATACGGTCTGTGCGTACGACCTGCAGATGTATAATCCCTGAAAAGTTTAACATGAACCATCTCCAACACGACAGAAGCACAGAACAGACTCACCATCAGCAGAACATCCCTCTGTCACAGAGAGAACACTCAAATTCCACTGAGTCGTGTCCTTTAGTCCGACAGAAGCTGAACCGCATCAGTGCACAATAACGAGCTGTTTTTTGATGAGCCATGTGGTTTTAAGTTTCGTTTCTGTAAAATGTAAACAAATATGCTCAAAGCTGTGTGGATAGGAAGGCTTGTGGACACAGAAACTGGGACATGTCCGACACGGTGATACGGTGATTCATTTGAGTGTAAACGTAACCTAAAATCAGTGAGATGCTCTCGTGTTTCCGGGATCCAGTTAAAAGTTGAGCCGCTGAGTTTTTCCCCCTTTGCAAAGTGTATTTTCATTGACACCAACATAAAGTGCATGACAATAATCCAATCTAGTCTGTGAAAGAATTTCTGTGTTATTTTAAACATTATGAATCATTTAAAATCATAATCATTTGTGTGTGTGATTAAAGTTATCAACAATTGCGTTTTGGGGTTTTTCCATATGTATATCATATGTCCTAGTACAAGAACTCCTGACTCATTAAGCTAATCTACTGAGTCGCCCATGAGAAGACAGCTAAGGGTTTTTCCCCTCATGTGGTTAGCATAAGTTTTTGGGAGAAAACTGACCAAATTGTTTATCACCTGGAGCCTGTAATCAAGTGTGAAATGGGGGGCGGTTTAGACTAAAAGATTGTTAGTATGTGATCATGTAAACACTGTGTGATATGATGTCATGTATTGTACCTTATCTGTGTCATGATTTTGAATAAATGGGTGTTCGGAGAGTTGTGGGGCAGAGTCGGCCAGAGCGTAGCCAGGGGCAGGCAGTCCCCAACTCTCCTTGCGCAAGTATTACTTTTAACCGTCTCGTTTTGGTGTGTCTTATTTAATGTAATTTGATGTCTTAGGGTAAATTCCCTGACATAGTCGTCACAAATGCATGCATGACAGTTTTGAAGTGTTGTATTGACAAAATAGGCTTCATTTTGTCCAGTTGTTGTGGGAATTTGATTACTGCACAGTTCGAGATGAAGACATAACATAACATGGTCTAATGTTTATTATAACCGAGTAAGCAGAATAATCAAGGGTTTTAGTTTCCTGTTTTTGGTCACATTTTTATACAGCGCTTTTCCACCTTCAAGTCACTCAAAGCGCTTTAACATCAAGGACACTAGGGGGGAGGTGGGTTAAGTGTCTTGCCCAGGGACACAACGACAACATTCATCTATGGGAGCTGGAATCGCACCACCAACCTGTGGGTCTGTGGATCTGACCGCTCAACCAGTGATGTTTACATCGAGAGCGGGATTTGAACCACCAAGCTCCAGATCAGTGGACGAACGCTCAACCAACTGAGCTAATGTCGTTCATTTTGAGGACTTTTGTACGGAAGCCGAGAGGGGTCACAACAAATGCAAACGCCGCAACAAATACAAATGCGACAACACAACAAAAAGCCACAACAAACCAAAAAAAGTCACAACAGAAATGACCGCGGGACTCTATTTTAATGCAAACGCCGCAACAAATACAAACACCGCAAACAAATACAAATGCCACAACACATTAAAAAGCCGCAACACACCAAAAAAAGCCACAACGGAAATGACCGCGGGACTCTATTTTCCGACGGACCAATCAAGCAGCAAGTGAAGAAGAACTACAACGTGAAACGAATAATGATAAAACAATAAATGACTTTTACTTACGTTTCCAACTTCTCCGTTCCTTTACTTTTCACGTTGTAGTTCTTCTTCTTCACTTGCCGCTCGATCGGTCCGTCGGAAAATAGAGTCCCGCGGTCATTTCCGTTGTGGCTTTTTTTTGGTGTGTTGTGGCTTTTTGTTGTTTTGTCGCATTTGTATTTGTTGCGGCGTTTGCGTTTGTTGTGACCCCTCTCGGCTTCTGTACTTTTGACCTCTGAAAACATTTTAGAATCTTTAAAAATGCTCCGCCACATTTTTCATCGTTCTCAAACACGTGGACAGACCGTCTTGAGTATTTGTAAAACTTGTTGTGTTCTTGTTTGCAGGTCCAGGTCAGTACAGCCCCAGACTGACGGCTCTCCCTCACAAGTCCCTCATCGTGTCCAAAGAGCAGAGGTTCAAAGTCCCTGTCAGCTCTGTGCCAGGCCCCGGGACCTACCAGGTACAACCCACCTCCCCCACTCTGGTATTCAGATTAGAGCCGCGCAGGAACATCCCTCAGGGGACGATCTCTGTGGTGGAATATTCAGCAGTTTCCATGGTTACACAATGCACACATTAGCAGACACAGACCAAAATGTTTTAAGAAGTCTGAAAACTCTTCTCAGCTGTTGTGGTTCCAAACAAGTCAGGTCTTTCTGGTCAGATTGTGTTAAAATAAAGATCAGATTAAAGGCCGCCACAAACTACAGCCCTTTTTTTTTCAATATTTCGCCATTCAAACGCACAATTATTAAGTTGTGGCGGCGCTTTTTTTGGGACAATATTTTCATGGACTGATGGCGAAGGAGGCGCGGTCTAGTTCTGGTTAAATCCTGGTTTGGACCTGGTTTTAGTTCTGGTTTAGTCCTGGTTTGGACCTGGTTTTGACCTGATTTTAGTCCTGGTTTAGACCTTGTTTGGACCTGTTTTAGACCTGGATTTAGTTATGGTTTAGTCCTGGTTTAGACCTGGTTTAGTTCTGGTTTTAGTTTCTGGTTTTCCTAGGTTTTCCTGGTTTTGAGTTTTGACCTGGTTTTAGTTCTGGTTTTAGACCTGGTTTGGACCTGGTTTAGACCTGGATTTTAGTTATCTGGTTTAGTCCTGGTTTAGACCTGGTTTTAGTTCTGGTTTAGACCTGGTTTTAGCTCTAGTTTAGTCCTGGTTTTAGTTCTGGCTTTAGTCCTGGTTTAGTCATAGTTTTAGTCCTAGTCTCGTCCTGTTTTATCTTGGGAATGAATTGCATACTGTGTGAACAAAATAGTAATTTAAGACCATGATTTATCTTTTTTTGCACATGTCATCGGGGGGGCTCCGTACCACCGTACTGTGGAACATACGACAAACAAAAACCTGACGGGAAAGAGACGGAGGATGAAGTTTAGATGATTATTTTGTGTATTTTTTGCCGTATCGCTCGGTTCTGTTTCATGTACAGTCGTTTACCCAGCATGCAACTGCAGCAGCCCACTCAGGCCCGTGTGAACGAGGCCGGGTTTGTGTGTGGAGCCATTATGTGGAGCGCTGAACCTATTGGATTCCTCTCATTGGTTTAGTCCTGATTTAGTCTTGGTTTAGTTCTTAGTTTTAGTTCTAGTTTATTCCTGGTTTAGTCCTGATTTTAGTCCTGGTTTAGACCTCATTTAGTCCTGGTTAAGTCATGGTTTTAATTCTGGTTTAGTCCTGGTTTAGTTTTGGTTTAGATGTGGTTTTAGTCCTGGTTTAGACCTGGTTTTAGTCCTGATTTTAGTCCTGGTTTAGTCCTCATTTTAGTTCTGATTGGTCTTGGTTTTAGTTCTGGTTTAGACCTGTTTTTTATTTCTGGTTTTATTTCTGGTTTTAGTCCTGGTTTAGTCCTGGTTTTAGTTCTGGTTTAGTCCTGGTTTTAGTCCAGGTTTAGTCCAGGTTTTAGTTCTGGTTTTAGTCCTGATTTTAGTCCGGTTTAGTTCTGGTTTAGACCTGGTTTTAGTCCTGATTTTAGTCCTGGTTTAGTGCTCATTTTAGTTCTGGTTTAGACCTGGTTTAGACCTGTTTTTTTATTTCTGGTTTTAGTTTTGTTTTAGTCCTGGTTTAAACCTGGTTTAGTCCTGATTTTAGTACTGGTTTAGACCTTTTAGTCCTGGTTAAGTCATGGTTTTAATTCTGTTAGTCCTGGTTTAGTTTTGGTTTATGTGGTTTTAGTCCTGTTTAGACCTGGTTTTAGTCCTGATTTTAGTCCTGGTTTAGTCCTCATTTTAGTTCTGATTGGTCTTGGTTTTAGTTCTGGTTTAGACCTGTTTTTTATTTCTGGTTTTAGTTCTGGTTTTAGTCCTGGTTTAGTCCTGGTTTTAGTTCTGGTTTAGTCCTGGTTTTAGTCCAGGTTTAGTCCAGGTTTTAGTTCTGGTTTTAGTCCTGATTTTAGTCCGGTTTAGTTCTGGTTTAGACCTGGTTTTAGTCCTGATTTTAGTCCTGGTTTAGTGCTCATTTTAGTTCTGGTTTAGACCTGGTTTAGACCTGTTTTTTTATTTCTGGTTTTAGTTTTGTTTTAGTCCTGGTTTAAACCTGGTTTTAGTCCTGATTTAGTCCTGGTTTAGTCCTAGTCTAGTCCTGTTTTATCTTGGGAACGAATTGCATACTGTGTGAACAAACTAGTGATTTCATCATCGGGGGGGCTCCGTACCACCGTACTGTGGAACATACGACAAACAAAAACCTGACGGGAAAGAGACGGAGGATGAAGTTTAGATGATTATTTTGTGTATTTTTTGCCGTATCACACGGTTCTGTTTCATGTACAGTCGTTTACCCAGCATGCAACTGCAGCAGCCCACTCAGGCCCGTGTGAACGAGGCCGGGTTTGTGTGTGGAGCCATTATGTGGAGCGCTGAACCTATTGGATTCCTCTCATTGACCTTGAGCTGTGCAGAACTACATTGATTTGTGAAAAAGCTCGTTCTCCGACGCTCGAGTTTGAACACAGAGTTTTTTGTGCTGGTGTAACTGGAGACTGAAGCTCCCACTCGCTCAAGGACACTGCCCCTGCTCCTTTTACTCCAACTCATCTTCACTAAAGTGTGTTACAGAGATGATACCCGGACCAGGACTAGACCAGGACTAGAGCAGGACTAGACCAGGACTAGACCAGGACTAGACCAGGACTAGACCAGGACTAGACCAGGACTAAACCAGAACTAAACCAGGACTAAACCAGGACTAAACCAGGAGTAGAGCAGTACTAGACCAGGATTAAACCAGGGCTAGACTAGGACTAGAGCAGTGCTAGACCAGGACTGAACTAGGACTAAACCAGGACTAAACCAGAACTAAACCAGGAGTAGAGCAGGACGAAACTAGGACTAGACTAGGGCTGGACCAGGGCTAGACCTGGACTAAACCAGGGCTAGACTAAGACTAGACCAGAATTAAAGCTAGACTAAACCAGGGCTAGACCAGTACTAAACTAGGGCTGGACCAGGGTGAGACCAGAACTAAACCAGGTCTACACCAGGACTAAACCAGGGTTAGAACAGGACTAGACCAGGATTAAAACAGGACTAAACCAGGACTGGAGCAAAACGAAACTAGGATTAGACCAGGGCTAAACCTGGACTAATGGACTAAGCCAGGATCTAGACTAGGACTAGACCAGGACTAGACCAGGACTAAACAGGACTAGACCAGGACTAGACCAGGACTAGACCAGGACCGTTTATAGGGTCTGCTGAGTCCATTTGTGTGTGTTGTATTTAGTGTATTTAGCAGCTCTGGAGGTACGTTTCATTTCTGACACTTCCCCCTCCCTTTGCTCTTCGCACTAAGTCACTCCCCCTTCAGAGCGCTATCAGAGTTTCAAGCTGTTGCGCCGTTTTTTTTTTAATCACGTTTTTATATATTTATTAAAACCTGCCGAGTGAGAGCGTGGATGATGTCGGCTTGTGGGCGGAGCCTCGTACAGAATCGTACATTTAACCGTAAGCAGGGTTTGAATAGGGCACGGGAGAGATCGCTAAATTACTCAAACATGCACGGATTGACATCTAAAACCGCCTCGGACATGTTTTCGACGAGGGGAAAACATTTTAACACGGCACAAAACTCCAAAAATCCAAATCCAAAATTTTATTTTTTGGGAGAAGATTACAAGGACATGAAAGAAAAAAAAAAAAAAAAAAAGATCAGTCGAGATATTGATCAACGCTGAAAGTTACGAAACAGCTCAGAACTCTGTCTCTTGCCTGTAATAAAACATTTTACTTTCAATCACAAATGTAGAAAATTCGGATTTGTCTTTTGACCTTCTCGCAAATTAACTACGTGACAGAAAAAAAGTGAAGCGCGAAGACTTAAAAAAAAACCAGAACAGACGTCGGCGAGAACTGAAGTGGATGAAACGGTTTGAATGGGAGCGGACAGCAGCAGATGGAGCCTGTGGAGAGCCCATAGTTAATCCCCTAATGTGCTCTGATGGCCGCGGTCGCAAGCGGAGATGGTGAGCCTAATGACAGCCCTTAGTGTGTAGGACGCACTGGGAACATGTGAGAAGCTCCTGGACAAGTGAGCCTCATTATCTACTCTTCGCTCCTATAGACGCTGGGATTCATTTGCACCAAAAACGGCTGGAAAGAGCAGAGCATTAAAACCTGGAGATTCTGGTTTACTGACTTGTGGAATGATAGAGCTGAAACAGTTTGGACAATATTGGACAAATGGTGTTTATTTAGCGAGTAACCTGTTCTAGAGATGCCGTGTTCTAAATTGGAAGTGGCTACAACTACTCTGGCTCCAGTTCACTTCCTAAAAGGTTTTGCTCTTAACATGATCTCGGTGTTTTCCTTTTAAATTATTATTTGTGACGGAGCAGGCCCGTCCCTGAGAACGCCGTCCCTGGGGGAGAGCACGTGAAGACGCGCGCGCCCGTTTCCATATTCACTGCACTCCGCCAACCATTTCTTACCAAAACCACTTATTAAAATACATTTTCACAACACCTCCTGCGTGTCTTGCCGCGACTAAGGGTGCACACTTAGAAGTAGTGATGTGACGTTCCGTGTCGAGTCTTCGAAGCGTGTGCCGAGTAGGGAGGGGGCGTTTCCGCGAAGCGCTTATCGAGGCTTGATTCATTTAGGGGAGGAGCTGAAAATGATGACGTCCGAAGCCTCGCTGCCCGGCTGTTACCACGTGACTGATTCAGGAAGTGGTTCGGGTTTTGCCGCGAGTTTTGACAGCGATATAAACTGCTCAGTCTTCATTCAAAATGTGGGTGTTTTGATGGAGAGTTGCGATCAGTGAGAGTTTGGAAGTTTGGAGACAGTTTAAACTCACAAAAAAACAATTCTTATTTCTTAGGTAACAACCTGTGGCGTCGCCTGGATCACAGAGTCAGACAGACACAAACACAAAATGTAATAGCAGATGCAAATATTGAGGTCCAACGGTGCATGATGGAGCCAAATACTGGAAGGCTGGAGGACCCCCTTCAATACT